CATCATCAGCTAGCGAGGGGGGTGGTATCCATCGTCAGCAGTGAGGATGGGGTGCTATCCATCGTCACAAGCAAAATAGGGGGGGGGTGCTATCCATCGTCATTAGCTAGAGAGGAAGAAAAAAGGTTTGAAAATTCCCCGGCTCTCTAGCTGCTGCTGATTGTTTGAACAGGACGCTTCCGCCACCGCTTTAGATAACAGCAACAGCAGCAGCAGCAGAGGCGACACACCCTCTCGCCCACAATGAGTGTAGAGAGGTGCACAGCACAGCAGTGGTACTACATCGTCTAGGAACGAGCGTGATGTGTTACTGGTCCCGTGCTGTGATGTATGTGTGCCTCTCTCCAGAGCAGAGTCAGAGGCCGCTCCCTCCCGCCGCGTCGCAACACAATAACAACAACCAACCGATGGACCCACAGAGACCCAATCAATATCTCTCCTCTCGCTTCCTCCGCCGAAAGCTAGCAGCAGCAGTAGTATAGGGCACACCCTGCTCCCGTCCCGCTCTCGCTGTGTGGTGTGTGCAACACACGCTGGTTGGTGGGACTCCCTCTCTCTCCAGAGAAAAAAAGGCGAAAAAAAGGCCGGCAGCGTTGAACAACAACAAACAACGGAAACAACAACAACAACATCATCAGCGATGAACCCCAGACCAACCAAACGTTCCCCGCTTCCTCCGCCGTCGCCAACAGCAGTATGTGTGTGTGTCCCGCCCCCCTTGTCCATGTTCCCTGTCTCTGTGTAGTGCGTGTCTTGCCAGTAGCAGCAGCAATGTGTGCAGCACGGCAGTGCGTCGTGGTTTCTTGCGTGCGTGTAGTTTGTTGCCCAGAGAAAAACAAAAATGACGACGCCTCCCGGGGATGCGTCCATGGGACATATATATTTGCACAAACGGTGTGCTATCTCGAGACACCGACCACGGATTGCAAAGGAAGCGGTTGGGACAGCTCGGGCAAAATGTTACTTGTTGTGCGCAAGTTTTAGTTTGCAATTTGGTGCCGAGATGGTGAAATGGGCTCGAGTCTGCTGGGTATTTAGGGCGCGCAGACACCAGACAGACACCAGACAGACAGCCATGGCGAAATTTTCACGCCCCTGTGCATGAAAATTATTCTTTTTCTCGTTCGTGCGCACATACTCCACACACAATCTCTCTAAACAGCTTTTATTTTGCAAACAAAAAGAGTACCCCTACTGTAACGGGCCACACTTTTTCAAAAATCAAACTATTACTAGAAGAGTTGGAGGTGGAATTGTTTTTTGTGGTGGTTGCACAAAAGTACCTGCAGTTGCCTCGTGCGTCTGTTACAGAAGAGCGGGGGGCGAGAGGAGGGTGGTATCCATCATCATTCGCGAGAGAGGGGGTGGTGTCCATCATCAGCTAGCCACGGTGGTGGTAGCCATCGTCAGCAATCTAGGGGGGGGTGCCATCATCAGAGGGGGGGGGG